TGAGATCCTCAAAGTGACATGAACAAGTAAAATCTTTCGTTCAAATCACTGAAATCCTACTGTAGTGGTGTTTGCAAAAGAATAAACTGCATTTACTCTTATCTCCTTGTACAAGGCAATTCTTAGAAATCCAAGTTGCAGTAAGACAGAAGTTGAGAGGGAAATAATTAAATCTGTAAACACAAACAGATCTCCATGTGGATCAGATGCAGGAAGTATGTGAGGAAATCTACCAGGGAAAGAACAACTAAAAAAAGACCAAAACTTCTGTAAAACGCATGCTTGTTTCTTTGCATTCATCTTTACCATGCAGGATGCTGTCAAAATATCTCGTCTTTTCTATTAAGGCTGACTTATCACAGTTAAAATATTGTGGGTATTTCTGAAATGTATCCAAAGGTAATGGAGTTGCGACCATGACAGTAACTGTCCAGAGGCATGTGCAATTCTGAAAGATGCTATTTGGCTAACGGTAGCCTTGATAAACCTCCCTCATTCACCATAAACCCATGCCACAGCTCAAGCATCAAGAGAAGATGCACTGAAATGTGTGTATTAAAGCAACAAGTCACCCAGCTTAGATGCCATATGTCCAAGATTTCCTCAGGAATGTAAGAGGAATATGATGCAGATGATCATATTTCTTATTAAAACTGAAGTAAACTGAACAATGACAAGTTTGAATCTCTCTTTCAGTAGGGTTTAAGAACAATCTAGGATTTACACAATAGTAAACCTTTCTTCTTTGCACTAAAACATCATTGAGGGTCTAATTAAAATTAAAACGTTCATGAGATACAATTGCATTTATTCAAGCATCATTCTCTTAACAGGAAAAATCCGGGCTTCATTTACCTGTGTAAATATTTTAAGAGTTCAATAGAAACAGTAAACAAAGGAATATATGGTTTTTATAAGTTACTTGACCTCTTCAGAGACCTTTCTGAAAAGGACTTAAACAGCAGAGTATAGATTACTGCTTATTATTTATTACTGCTTATTAATTACCGATTTACCTGCTTACTAATTAGAAAAGCATGCTACTACCATGGACGAGTAAGTGGCTAATGAAGAGAAAGTGAATGACCAGTAGCCATCGTTACCTTTAGCCATATTGTTGAAGTCTAACTACAAGGTACCTGAAGACTCCATGCAAAGATCAGTTGAAGCGTTTATTGACAGCTCGTAAAACAGAATGACCACTAGTGCAAAATTCAAGATGGCACAAAATTGCTTTGCTTAACCAAAACTGGAAAAAATTGAGAAACTTCAGGAGCGACAGGCTGAACTAAGTGAAAGGAACAGCAGATAAAATTCATCAGAAACTAATGTAAAATTACTCGATCTATTGTGCGCTATTTGAACAATCCATATGCCTTATGAGAATCTCTATTAACTGCATGTATCGAGGTAGGTGACTTCACATCACTGTGTACAGCCCCAAGAAGATCTCTGTGGAATGGGCTAACTCATCCAAAATGCAGACAGAAAATAAGGGTGCTGAAAGACTGTTACAAGTGCTTCAGTGATCAGACGAATCAGTGAAGTCTGCGACATACCTAACAACTCCCATCCATATGGATTCTCTAATGTCTGTCTAGAGGAATGTTACACTCCACTGAGGATGTTAATATTGTCAGTTCCTTTTGCCTTAATATTTTTGAGACTCCTTTTTCCTTCTTCCAAGGGACTGAAATTAGCCAATAGATTCAGAGGTTAAGGGTAATACACAAATTCACACAAAATATGACTACCAAAGACTTGTTTCTTTAAGAACCCAATCTAACACTGCTACTGTGAAAACATAAAACATGCCATCATTTTAAACATTTTCTTCTGATCACCTCTTCTAACAGAGTGCAAAGGCTTAATGATTTACAAGATAAAATAACCTGCACAAGATGAGAGCGTGAAAAACATATCTGTTCTAGAGATGAGTCAAAAAGGGACATGCTAAAAAAATACAGAAAATAATTCCTACTATGGAATAAGTAAATCAGGAATTCTCTTCACTCTCTAAAAAGCAAACTTTCAAAGGATTTGAAAGACAATAATTTGAAGCCTAAGATTTGTCTTTAGGCAGGTTCCCTGTTACAACCTGTAACTATAATTGAAGCTACTATGATTTAAAAAGGAATAGTTACAGTTGCATTTAAAAACAGCAAAGCTATTGCCTTTAAAAAAAAATCAGACAAACAGCATATAGAAAGAGAGAAAAATCTAAATACTTTAAAGCATAAGCCAGTTCCTAAATATCTAAAGGATAAATTTATTTAGGATTAAATTGTCCCAGGGCTCTCAATAAGAATTTTTATATGTTCCTCTGAAGCATCCAGTTCTGGCCAAATTCAGAGCTGCACTGCCAAAAAGCAGAGACTTACTATTTTGGTCCTGGCAAAGCAAGATCAGGAGAATGAAAAAACGTTTTCCATACATTCTTCAACACGGCAGTAGTACAAAGTGATCCAGAGTCAAGACTGACCACTGATTTGTTAAAAGATTTTAATTCTTTTACATCAACTGAGAGGAAAAGTGCTACTAAAACAACATCTTCCAGCGTGCCAATGCTAAACAATGCCAAGACTGTCTTTATGAGATTTCCAACAAATACATGCTGCATTACACTTCCTCGCTCCTGTTACTATACTTCCCTCAGCAGTGACAGGGATTTTTTTTAGGCATTGCAGTTGTAAGACAGGGCAATTATTTTAGCAAGGGCTGTCACAAATTGCCACTTGCAGTTGACATTCCTTCCTAAGGACCAACAGCATACAGCACACACACTCACAGATCACAGGGACCGCATCCATCACCGTTGCATTATCCTTGGGATTGAGCTTTCCTCCCTCATCATTCTGAATACTAATGCACAACACTATTTTTAAAGCAACACAGTCCATAGTCTAATGAACATCTAGAAGTTGTTTTAATCAGCAGATCAGAATCCTCCTAAAAAATTAGAGAGCTCTGCATGCTTCTTCTGACTGCAGGAGACAATAACTAGTTTCCCATTACTACGGCAGAAGGCGATAAAGAGAAGCTCATATGTTCTACCCTTAATCACTCTGATGCAGCACAGTATGAACAAGAATGACATGTAAGTGGCAATTCTTCCCCACATTGCTGAAAGACAAGAGATTTATTTTCAGATTTGGAAAAAAAATGCATGCAGATTGAACAGAAACCTAAGGGGTTTTTTAGCTCCTTCACTATCTCTGATCTACTACCCTACAAAGAACTAACCCAGCAGCAAGAGCTGGCATCCGCCTGGTACCCTGGTGTCATGTGTCATCAACATTTCCAGTTAGCAGCACCTGCCCAGGGCTCCTGGAACAAGTGTAGCACAGCAGCAACCTCCCTGGCTTCAGTGCCATGTTCTGTCATAGGCACGTGCTTTTGTACGTGCATGCATGCAACCACAGCACTGCCACATACGACACTGCCTCGTGTTTCATGGCTATGATGACTTTACAAATGATCAGTACTGTAAGTTCATAAAGGGCTTATTCGATGGCTTGTTGCCATTTGGAGGATGAAATTCAGTAATGAAATGAAAAGTGAGAGCAGCTATTTGAACTTTTAAAGCCATTTCTTGCCAATGCTCAGCTACATGGCAGCCCCATTCATTTCAAAACTACACTTCTCTGAATTATTCCAGGCTGGGGCCCCATGCTTTACATGAGCATGGCCAGCCATTCCAGTGATGGATTTGTTACACAAGGCTTTGAGTAAATTTATAAATTCTTACCGAAAAATGCCTCTATTGCCTCTCTACTCAGGGTCTAAGTTAACCTTCTGTTTTTCTTGGAAGAGGGAACATACAGCAGTTCCTTTCTGTTCTGACTTGAACAGATCTAGTGCAAACCACAACCTAGCAACTGATCAAAAGCTACTCCATTTAGCTAAGAGAGGAAGAAGCCTTCCTCAACCCTGGCATCTTATGAAATACAAGATTCATTTCTGCCTGGAGTCCTTGAGATCTTTTAATCAACAGGGAGCCATACATGCAAAGCATCCACAGGATTCAGAGGTCCCATGTGCAAGGCTACATTGAGAAGTGAGTTTGGATGGAGGAAACGTGGATGCCATTTATGTTGGCGACCCAGAGAAATATGTGCTCTAGGCTGCTGCGTAGAGTCAGAAAAGGAGATAGCCGTACAGTGGAGGGGCATAGTTTATGCAGCGGTGATACTTTCCCACAATGAAGGCTCTGAGGATAAGGCTGGTAAACAAGATGGATTTGATTAAGTTTCCCTTTGTCCTAACAAAGCTGCTCAAGGGGAAAACACATTTTCAGTATATTGTTGAATGTAATTTGGAATAAGAAGTGTGAATTTATTCAGGCACATCCATTCCTCTCATTTCTTGTCAAATCCTTGTCATGCTCGTGTACTCTATTTCTGCAGTACCATTAGACTGGAAGGAGTCATAGGCAAGGAGCATTTCTCGCATGTTCTTTTTCCTTGGGGAATCTGGCACAACGTAAGTGCCATGACCAAAACAAGCATCAGTAAAAATATGGATCCCATTTTGCCTACAACAGCCTCTCCGAAAATCTACAATCATTTATTTGACATGTAGGGCTCTCTGGGAAGAGCTAAGTTGAGTGTCGACATTTTTAACATTATGGAAAGTAGTTTTATGTTGTACCTCCAATATTCATACTTTTCATTATCCTGGTTTTTTTCCCCTCAATGCAGGATAAAAATGTAAATATTGAAATATTCTCTCTATTTTGTGTAAACAAGACCAATGAAGAACACTGATGGCCTCCAAGGAGGGGGAAGAAAAATACATTTTAAAATAGAAACTTTAGCTTCTTTCCTAAACACTTAAAGTGTTGTTTTTTTCTCTAGAATATTAATCAGAAATGGAAGCTTTAGAAATTCATGACACACAGGGCTAAAATAAGTCTATTACAGGTTTCTAATGTATGTAACTCATGCATCATTATGCAAAAGGAAATTTGAATTAAATTGAAAAATGAATGCTGTACTTACTGTGGCTAATTCATCAAACTTGCCAAAGAGTTCATTCAGCAGCTTCACCAGCTCTTGGGCAGTGCACTGTGATGCCAGACTCGTGAACCCCACAATGTCTGCAAACAAAATGCTGTAGAGAAGGAAGAAAAAACAGAGATATTGGTACAGAAGACATCTTTGCATTCTCATTATCCTCTTTTATAGGCCAAATGCAACGCAAAGCACAAACACAATCAAGTCCTGAAATGCTACTGATAAAGTGCTGCTTGAAACAAAAACATCACATACTCAAAGCAGAGAACTGGGTATGAGTTTAGGGCTGATAATTGTTGGTCTGTCGTGGAGAGAGTCCTGGGACGCTGCTTAATGTCTCTATGCCCATCTAAGGCATACTTAAGACAAAACACCAGATTCAAGCATCTACCCTCTGAGTACTTCAGGAACACAGAGCACAATTACTTCTCTTTACAGAATGCGAATCAAGACACAAAGGAGGCTAAACAGCTTGGCCAAGTCTTGTTAAATCTGTGGTAGAGCAAGGAAAGAAATGTAGTCCTCCAAGCACGTAACTAATGCCTTCACCTTTAGACACTCCTTACTACTTTATCGGAGGTCTATCTTTTCTGTATTGCAGTTAGTCTTTGCAGATATTATGAGGCCTAATGACAAACACTTGCAAAATAGTTGGAAGAATTAAGGTATTGGATTCAAATCAGGAAAGCAGCTTTTACTTATTTCCTTGCCAGCTGCAATGAGAGCCTGCAGCGCCCTGCAGAAGTGCTGAGGTGGATCCCAAAGACAGGTCTTGCACTGGTACAGCTCTACGGCCAAACCGACAAACCTGGCTTGCGGCTTAAGCACTGCTAGACCTGAGTTAATAACTTGCATACTGTAGCTCTGTGATGTGGTTTTACTGCTCCAGCTCAGGAGCTAGCACGCACAGCGCTGGGACAGGCTTCTTTTACCACGCTGCATGCTCAGGTAAGCGTCCAGCTTCCATCAGCATTCACCAAGTTTTAACGTATAACAGTTTATTCTGCTTTAATAAAACATCCCTATCCATCTGGAATGATAAGGGGAGACACTTGGAAGAAATACTACAGTTACAGAGAGCGTAAGAATTCCTGTGTTGACCCTGGAACTGGAGAGTGTACGCAGCTATGATCATTTTAATTACTTAGATTCCTTCATCCGTTGGCACAGGCCCAGAGCCAGCTGCAGAAACCTAATACATTTATCTCCAACACCCAGACTATAAACGTCAAATAAATGTTTATTTATGCAAATGCTAGTGAGCAGTCCCATGCCACATGGCCTAGGTATACTTGACATAGTGTAAAACATGGCTTGAGAGCTGTAATTTACGTTAAACATTACACACTCCTCTTCCCATCAAGAAACCTTCACTCTGTAGATAAAGTAACTAGTGCTAGAAAAGGACCAACAAATCTACTATTTCCCAGGCACCATTACCCACTCTGAACTCTCACACAAAGCCACGGAAAAGAACAAATAACTCCATTCCATTTAACCCATTAAACGCAAAAAAATCCCTTCTCTACCAGAACAGGTTAGCTAACACATCCCAATACAAAACTGACTGCTCCAAAGTTTACTGGCTTTCATCTACAAACACAGCATACGTGCTGTCATATTAATCCTTCACTCTTTTCTTCCTTGAGCATACGTAAAACTGTCAAGATAAAAATAGCTATTTAATTCTTACACTATTTAAACATCAAAAAAAGACTCCTTAAAATAAGACATTCAGCATTTAGTCAGTTGAACTACTTTGTGCCTTTGCTATCGTGAATATGAACCACCCTCATAACGGGTGAGGTAAAAGGTATCAGAGTACAATAAATGCAATAATGCCAACAAACTGCTCTGCAACTTTGCCCGTGAAGATCTAGCCACTCACTTAATTCTGGATTGGCATCCTCATTGTTTGACAGCCCTGGCTGGGATGTTCCTTCTGGAAATTCATCAGTCAATATCAAATCATCCTTCTAAGTTCCTTAAAGATTTTCAGATTTACTCAAACATACACCAAGGTCTTCTATACAGTCTTCTAACCCATTGGCTTCATGATCCATAATCACATCAAAATTCATATAGTCACCAAGAAAAAGGCACAGAGGGAAAATTAAATTGTTGCATACCAACACATCATGCATTGCTCAGATTTTAATTAGATACTATTACTATGAGAAAGAGTAGTTGTCCAATATTTCCCACAGAACCAACAATTTCCACTTAAAAAAATTAGCATTGCACTATTTTTTTTAAGACCTTGAATGTAGTGACACTGTTACCTGCTTATCACAGTGTTTACTTCAGCGCCATCAAACACGCACAAAACAGAAGTCTCAAGCATTTAAAGATATTATATACTCATGGGTTAACAACTAATAGAGCAACTAATACACTACTGATACGCACAATTCAGCAGAAAGTCTCAATTACTTAAGCACGAGTGCAGAAAATGTATTCATGCATCATTAGTCATTCAAAAAGAAAGTTATTTTACACCCAAGCACCTTCGCAAGTCAGTGTGATATCCTTGCTAATCCTTTAAACATTTTAAGGGAGTATTTACTGCTATCTTTATTAATCCCTAGCCATCAGTGTTTGATTCAAAATACTAGTATTGGCCTTCAGTTTGGCACATAATTACAAGGACCCATAACACATTATGGAACATGTAATACATAAATTTAAGTAAAATATGTAATTACAGCACGCTGAGACAAGGCTAGGTTTATGCTTGCGAACTATTTAATACCATACTATACATTTTAAAGCTAATGGAATAGATTAGGCAGCCTGCCCACTGTTACACTTCTTTGGCATAAGTTCTTTAAAAAAATATTTGCAGTCGATAGTTTTTAATATATTCTGCACATTTTAAGAATATTATAACTTCCATGCCTGAAAACTGTGGAAATATCTCAAGCGCTGGACAAGGCAGAGTGCACGGGGGGGGCAATTCTGCAAGTATAAGTCCTGCCTCAAGCCCTGCCTTTTATGGGTAAATTCTGCTTTCTTTCACCACAAATTGTTAAAATCACAGCAGCTGCTGAATATCGTTTGAATGCTGACTGAAGCACAGAAGAGCAAAAGCAAGGTCTCAGCATGGAAGGCAGAAAGCCTCCAGTGGATGAGCAGGGGCTTTACAGACCCAAAGCGTGTCCCTGTCTGAGAGCCTGCTGTTTCCACGGTCTGTCACCATGCAGGGGGTGGGCAGTGCTGAGAGTCCGTCTGATGCATACTGAGCTCTAATATCCTAAAAATAGAATTGAAACTCATTAGCCAGTTCATTTTATTTCAGCTGGCATGCTGACCAATATTATCTTCTGCACTCCTTCACCTGTCTGTGTCCATCTGTTATCTCTTCCTTGTACTTGGATTACAAGTGTCTGGGCCAGTGACTGCACTTGTTCTTTATTTGTACAATGCCTTAAAAAGAAAAAAAAAAGGAAAAAAGAAAAAGTGAACCTTGGTCTGCAACAAGTGTTTTTGACTATGGAGGTAAAATACCTATTCACCTGATGCAGTGCACTTTTTTTCCCCCCCCTTCTGTTACACCCTGCTCAGGTTTTTGGAACGTAAAGGATATAGAAGGTCTTTGTCAGGAAGTGTTAAAAATCAGCTACACGGGGTAAGAACAGAAGATTATAATACTTGGTATGGCCATGGAATTAGTAAGGTTACCAAAGAGAAATGATAAGATATATAATACCAGAGTTACACTGATACGCCATGCTTCAAATGTTTCCAGTATCAACCAATATTTGAGAAGTCCAAGCCCCTACCTATTTGTCAGCAGAACACAGTTGACTATTCAGACTCCCTTTCCTCCAATTTTGATACATTATTCACACAAAAATGGCGAGTCTTAAACTTAGGCCATCGGTACACTTAGGAAAGTTAAGAAAAATTAGCAATAGTAGTGACATCACTGTTAAGGCACGTTAATCTCTCAAGTAGACACAGTCATTCAAAGAAAAGTAGCCTTAGTTCACTGTAACTTAATTGCTAATCACCACAGAGGTCTGCTTCCTCAAGAAGGATTAGCCTAGAGCGAACTAGGGCTACCTTACTTAGGCATGAAAGAATCCACACAATGGTACAGTATACAAAGGGACACTTCACACTGATTGCCATGCATTTTTCTTTTCAAGAGACAATAGCAAAATACACGTAGTGAAAAGTAATGACAAGCTACGTGATAACAATTGGTTCTCTTAATGTCTGCTCAGGGATGCAACTCTCCCTACTTTAATTCCACAGAATTCTTCATCATGCCTTAGGGGAACCTCTGATTAAAAACCAACAAAACAATCTCAATTAAACTGTGACTATTAAAGAAAGAAGAGAAAAAGAAAATGAGAAGAAAGTGAAAACAATGAACAAAGGTTACTTCTGTTTGTCAGCAATGAGACTTGCACACAATTCAAGAGCAGCTCTCCGTGACAAGTGGTGTACGATGTGATGGTTAGCCAGGCTAAGTAGTTACGAGGGTACCAAGACTGGCGTTGCCTCATTAACCAGGGACTCAGCAATGCTCTCATTCCTCACTCCCACAGCTGAACCGAGGGGCCCAGAGGAGCCGTTATTCTCTCTTGCTTGTGGACTATACCAAAAACTCTGCACTCCTTATGCACTCCGAGATATTCAGTATTTGTGCTGTAGTTTTCACTCACATGAAGATTTTACTACTACATTGATGGGGTCAGGAGGTTTGGCTAACCCAGTAAAATCTTAAATCACTTTGGCTTTTGGACAGATAAGTTACTAGCAGCATACATTACGACAGCACATCACTACTCCAATTAAACCCTAGGGGAAAAAATAATCAGTTACTGAGCAGTGCTTTGACAAACTTTTGCTCTGCTCTTGATTTTAACCCCCACGCGGTGTCTTTGTGTTGCAGAGGCAGCGCCGTCTGAGGCTAGAGGCTTGCTTGCTCCTGATGCAGCTTGCTTCCTTGCAGGAGATCAGAGGAACAGACCGAGCATTACTAAAGCCAGCAGCAGAAGGAGAGTGATTTAAGATCTTTTCTCCTGATGGTTCTCTCACAGATGCAAGATATTTTGTCTTAAAACAGACAACCGGTAACAAAAGTAA